TAGTAACGACCCGTGTGCACGCCCGTCACAGCGTGACGTCACGCGGTGCAGGAGGGTGAGGACGTCCCTTCCGTCTCCAAGTACAGCGCACCCAGCCCCAGACCGTGTCACTTCCTGTGACCCGCCAGCCAATGAGCAGCCCGGATTCCGAGACAGGCCCCTCCCCTCTGAGCGACATAACCCCACCCCTGGCCGCACCCCATCGCTGTCATACCCCACAATTCTGACCAGACCTGCGTCACCCCCGCGAGCCCTCAGCCTCCGAGTCCTTCCCAGAAACCCAGCACATTCGCTCCCAGCTTGAAGCCACTGCATCCCGGCTTCCAGCTCCTCCTCCTATTCCAGACCCCCCTGACTCCCCTCCAAAAGCAGTCCTGTCCCATTTTCTGGCCCCTCCCCAGCACTTAACCCACACACGTCCCCTCTCACTAACCCTGGAGCCAACAGTGGCTTCGACTACAGGGACACTGGAGACGCCCAGACAGTCATCCAAGGCTTTAACAAGCCCACAGGCAAAGGACCAGGGTTTCGGGGGGCCTGGAGGGACCAGTGTCTTCTTTGGTCTGGCCTCGTCCTCCGTTACACAGCTGGGCTAATTATTTGATCAACTGCAGATCTGTAGTCCTTCTCACCAGGGTCTGGGGTTAATGAAGCAGACGTCTTGCCTAATCAACTGTAAAAGACCACCCAGAGCTGAATTGTTTAAGTGACTGGGCTTAGGAAAACAAACTGAAGACACCAGACCCCGCAGGAAGAGAGTTACAGACCCCTGGACTGGACCCCGCAGGTTCTCCAGCTCCTCTCCTGGGAAGCCTGGTGTCTCCTGGGTTTCACTCCAAGTACAATTAAACAGCAGCCTAATTATTCTCAGTGAGACAAATACAGGATGTTCCTCAAACTCAAACCACCGAAGACAGAGCTATCTCTGTCTGATAATTTTTGGAGCACTTCAAAAGCGTGCTCGGAATTATCACAGGTAATTAAGAACTAGACCGGTTATGTAACTGGGAATGTGGTTGGAGCAAAAACCAGGAGACACAGGTCCTCCGGGAACAGAGTCTGAGACCCCCCCCCTTGTTCTACAGCAAAGCCCTTGTCCTGTTGTACTGTTGGACTCCCACCAAAGTCTGATGAGTCTTGACCTTCCTAGCAACTTCCAGAAGAAAAACCAGATGAAGGGAGTTTGGCACCTTTGTAAGGAAATGAGACACAGCAATGAGTTACTGCTAAACACCCAACCTCTGCGTTTCATACGCGCTCGACGAGACTATAGCCTCTGCGTTCTGCAGAAACAACGGTAAGAGAATTTCCTCCGTTTCCACTACCGTATGGGAACAATGGTCTAGGTCCTGTTTTCATTTTTTTTCCCCGATGACCCTGCGTGAACTCGTAGATGAGTTTGTTCTGTGCGGTCAGTTTCAAACCTGACAAACCTCCTCAGCAGCCACAGGAAAATATCAGTGAGTTGCCACTGTCCCCACTGACGCGGTAAGAACATAAAATATCGCCCCTATTCCAATTGCCCGGAGTGGGCATGAGGGACACGTTCTCTGTGCTTCACACCACGCTGGCCTGTGGTTCGCCAACAGGGCAGGGCATAAGAACAGATCAGTGTGAATGAGGTTCCTGATTGGCTACAAAGCACATTGGCGAGCCAATCACAGTACCGTCTGAGTACCTGAAAACTGGATAGCCGCCTTCTCTGATTGGATGGTCAAGAATTCTTAGGCCACGCCCCCTTTTGTGATCTGTGCACGACGTCCTCTCCGTGACAACCAGAAACCAACCAATCCCAGTCCTTCCCGCCTTCTGAGACCCACCCCACAGATAGTACCCTCCTTCTGCCCGCGATGCTTTCCCATGAGCCCTTACCTGGAGTTGGTCATGTCAGTCTGTGGGCCCTGGCTCTTCTCCAGTCCCAGCTTGGTGAAAATCCCGACCAGTACCATAACAGCCACCACCCCGCAAATGATGTACACGATCATGTTGGTTCTGTCCCGGTCGGGTTCCTCGTGGATCTCGGTGACCGGCACCAGGGGCCTGCCGGTGTTGGCCCAGTTGGGGGTGTCGTAGTTGGAGCAGGAGGTCTGGTCCAGGTGGTGCTGGCGAAACTGACAGCAGAACCGGTAGAAGCAGGTCCCGCAACAGAACAGGTAGATCCCGGCGTTGCAGTTGAAGGGCGGGTCCCACTGGCCCATCACGTCGTAGTAACCCCGGCAACGGCTGCCGGAGGGCGGGACCGTCATCTCCGCCTCCTCCGGGGTCGCCAGGGTGACCTCCGGGGACAGGGGCGAGGCCTGCGTCTGATTGGCCTGCTGCAAGCCCAGTTTCCTCTGCTTGGCGGCCCCGCCCAGAGAGGCCGCCCCTAGCAACGCGCCTAGCAGCAGCGGGAGCGAGAGGTGATGGGCTCCCATCGCGCGTGGCGGGAGGGCTGGCGGGCTTTTTCTTCCCGGCTCGGGAAGGAATCGGAGACGGGGATGAGCGGCTTCGAACTCGAGGGCGGCCCTGTCCCGCGCAAAATCCAGACTGTACTTCACTCCTTGGGAAAAGTGCGTCACTGGAAGAATGGGAACCGTTCCCCGACAGCGTCGGCAAGCCCCGCCAGCCTTTCCGAGGAGAACATCCGCAGCACGACGCAACAGGATACAAAAATGGAAAAGGTCTCCCGAGACGCGCGAGGAGTGTCAGTGGAAATGAAAACCGAACGGGCACAGCTCTCCCTTTCTCCGAAGGGCCACTCCGAAGGTCAGGTTTTTGCTTCCAGCCCTGCGTTCCGACCTCTCGAGGGTTAATCTTGGGATTTATCGCCCGCAGGTTTACGGCCCGGGCCTGAGCGCCCTGTGTGTCCCGTTATTTTCCGCGAAGTGGTTTTTGATGTAGGACGTCTCTACCTTTTCCTTCAGTTTCTCCCCCTCCTCCAGCCCCGCATCCCAGAGGCGCCAGCGACGTTATCTCTGCGATGGTCCCCTCAAGACTCACGTCCACACAGGAATTCGCCAAGGCCCGCAAAAAAGTCTCTTTCTCGCACTCTTCCTCTCTCACTCTTTCTGTTAGTCTCTTTCTCACACTCTTCCTCTATCTCTCTTACACTCTTCCTCTGTCTCTCTCACACTCTTCCTCTGCATTAGTCTCTCTCTCACACTCTTCCTTTCTCACACTCTTCCTCTCTTTCACTCTGCGTTAGTCTCTTTCTCACACTCTGCCTCTCTCACACTCTTCCTCTCTTTCACTCTGCGTTAGTCTCTCTCACACTCTTCCTGTGCCTCAGTCTCTCTCTCTCCTTCGCTCTCTCTCTCTCTCACCTCTATCTTCTGCACTCTTTCTTGTTTCCTCTGGTTCCTCGCTCTCTGTATGAACCTCCGGTCTCTCTCACGGCCCCCCCTCTGTTTCTCTCCCCCCTCACTGCTCTCGTCCGTGTCTGTGCTGGGCTTCGCCCTCCTCTCCCCCTCTCTCGCACGCACGCACACACCTGTCTTCCCTCTGCGAGAGAATCTCCCGGGAGAGCAGATCGATCCGACTCACTCCGGGGTCGCCTTCATCACCAGACCCCCCCCCGCATCCCCTCCAGACTCCCGGAGCCAGGGGTCGGACAGGGAAAGTTTCTCCGCCAGAGGATGCCCTCCCCAGAGCTAGGCGCCGTGCAGCCAAACAGGTGAATGTCTGCTGTTTTTATCCAGGAGCCTCGGCGTCTCACTCCGGGGTGTTCCTGTGCCACAGGGGCAGCAGCATGGCTCTGTGAAGAAAGTTGTCCGTCTGCGCTGGCTCTGCCTGGTCCTCTCCTCCTCTGCGCTCTCTGCGATGTTGTGTCGCTGTGTGAAGATCTCCCGGCGCTGAATGCAAATATCTGTAACATTCCCAGGCTCTCTCTCTCCCCCTCTCCCTCGCTCGCTCTCTGAAGCGCACTCAATGACTCTTTGTCTCTCTGTCACTGACACCCCCCTCTCTTCCTCTCCCTGTATCCCTCAGCATCCCACTCCCTCCCTTTCCTCCCCTCTTTCTCCACCTCCCTCCGTCCCTCATCCATTGTCTCCCTGTCTCTCTGTCCCCCGTCTCTCTCTCCCTCTTCCTCTGTCTCTCCCGGTTTCTCCCACTGTCTCCTTGTCTCTCTTCATTTCTCTCTGTCTCTCTCTCTGTCCCCCTATCTCCCTCACTGTCCTCCTGTCTCTCCATCTGTCCCCATCTCTCTCTCTGTCCCCCTATCTCTCTCACTGTCCTCCTGTCTCTCCATCTGTCCCCCATCTCTCTCTCTGTCCCCCTGTCTCCCCGGGACGGAAGGCCGGGGTGCATGCCCCCTGACATCACACAGAGGCAGGAGGGCAGTGGGGGGCCGGAGGGGCAGCCGGACAGACAGGAAGGGAGGAAAGAAGGAAGGACACCCTGTGCCCGAGCTCTGACAGAGGGATCAGAGGGATTCGGAGAGGGAAGGGATTCGGGAGGAGAGGAGGAGAGGAGGGGGGGGGATCGGGGGGTTTATATAATACCCCCTCCTCTTTCCTTGGCAGACAGAAACAGGGCTTTTGTGAAAAGTGCCTTTGGGGATCAGCCAGTTTTGCCACTTCATCAGAATGTTCTTACCAGATTAGAAATTTACTGTTCAATTTTTTATATTTTCTTCTTCCCCAACAATCACGGCTCTGAATATTCATCTCCGCGCGGCAGGCCGGGGGGGGGGATACGACTCCTCGACTGAGCACCAGCCCTCCAGGGGGGCCGTCCCCGAGGACGAGAGTGAGCGCGTGTGAGAATGTGCAAGTGAGCAAGAGTGAACGTGTGAGGCCCGTGTGAGTGTGAGAGCGCGCGTGTGAGGCCCGTGTGAGGCCCGTGTGAGGCCCGTGTGAGGCCCATGTGAGGCCCATGTGAGCGTGTGAGCATGTGTGAGCATGTGTGAGCGTGTGTATGAGAGCGTGTGAGAGCGTGTGTGAGCGTCTGTGAGCGTCTGTGAGCGTGTGAGAGCGTGTGAGAGCGTGTGAGAGCGTGTGTGAGCGTGTGTGAGCATCTGTGAGCGTGTGAGCGTGTGAGAGCGTGTGTGAGTGTGTGAGCATGTGTGTGAGTGAGCGTGTGAGAGCGTGTGTGAGTGAGTGAGTGAGTGTGAGCGTGCGTGTGAGTGAGTGAGTGAGCGTGTGTGAGCGTGTCTGTGCACGCGCAGGGAGAGAGGGGAGAGGCCCAGGGCCCGGAGAGGGAGAGACCGCGGGGCGGACAGTCCTGCTCCTCTCTCTCGCCGGTGTGGACCCGCCTGCGGCCGCTCGCTGTCCCTCACCGCAGACCAGAGAGATGGGGGAGGGGCTGACTGGACATCACGCTGGGCCAATACTGCGCACAGGCAGGGGGTCAGAGAGGGGAGGGGTGAGAGAGAGGGGGGTACAGGGGGAGGGGAGAGAGAGAGGGGGGTACAGGGGGAGGGGTGAGAGAGAGGGGGGTACAGAGGGAGGGGTGAGAGAGAGGGGGGTACAGAGACAGTGGGGTACAGAGGGAGGAGTGGGAGAAAGAGGGGTACAGAGGGAGGGGTGAGAGAGGATGAGAGTGAGAGAGTAAGTGAGGCATCAGTAATTCCAGACCTATTGACTTCCAGTGGCACTTCCACAGGGCACTGCACAGCCTGGCCCTGCCAGCAGCCAGGGATACAGACTGCCCCCTCGCCCGCCGACACCCCCCCTTGTGGTTTTAAAAGCCAGAGTCCATCATCACTAAAAGCCGGGTCTCGGGCCCGGTTAAGCGTGCATGTGCCGTCAGGGGCAGTGGTGACCCCTGACTGTCTGACTGTCACCTGAGTCTAGAGCCAGCGACTGGGAAAACCTCTCTGGGACCCTCTCCTCTTCCTCGTGGCCTGATCCCAAACCCTGCTGGCCCTGCTCTCTTCCCCAGAGCCAAGAGAGAGGGAGAGACCTGTCTGTCTGTCTGTCTGTCTCTCTGTCTGTCTGTCTGTCTGTCTCTCTACCTGCAAATGAACCAGGACATCCCAGTGTGATGGGACAGCAACTTCTGTACTGGGAGGAATGGGTGACCTCTGTTCTCAAAATCAGTGGGTTTCAAATGTGAGAGTAATACAGTATATTAAAGGGGCAGGCCCTAAGACACCCCAAAACATACCGGGTGCAACAGGGGGGTTCTGTTTAACACAGAGGGAAAACGGTTATAGAGACAAGAAAAAGGACACCCTCCTGGGCTGTGTCCACCCTAAAACTCCGCCCACCAGCAGCGCAGCCAGTGGTCGGGACAGGGGCAGACTGTGGGGTCCACAGCAAGGGCTTTAGGGGTTACCCACAGAGAGTCTGTGTGTGAGTCTCTCTGTGTGTTTGTGTCAGAGTCTCTCTGTGTGTGTTTGTGTGTCAGAGTCTGTGTGTGCGTTTGTGTCTGAGTCTCTGTGTTCGTGTGTGTGTCTGAGTCTCTCTGTGTGTGTTTGTGTCAGAGTCTGTGTGTGTTTGTGTGTCAGAGTCTGTGTGTGTTTGTGTCTGAGTGTGTCTGAGTCTCTCTGTTTTTGTGTCAGTCTGTGTGTGTTTGTGTGTCTGAGTCTCTGTGTTTGTGTGTGCTAGAGTCTGTGTGTGTTTGTGTCTGACTCTCTGTGTTTTTGTGTGTCATAGTCTTAGACTGTGTTTGTGTCTCTCTGAGTCTGTGTGTGTATGTCTGTGTGTGTTTGTGTCTCTCTGAGTCTGTGTGTGTCTCAGACTGTGTGTGTTTGTGTCTCTCTGGGTCTGTGTGTGTCTCAGACTGTGTGTGTT